CAGCTGATCGATGTTTCTCTCTCATCAATGTTTCTAGCTCTCTAGCCCTCTCTCTTCCTCTCTATAAAAACTCAATGAAATATATTTTTTTAAAGTTTTTTTTCCATCAGTAGATGATGGAATAGTATGCAGCAGTAAAAAAGAAGGATCTTGCCCTGGCTGGTTTGGCTCAGTGGATAGAGTCGGCCTGCAGGCTGAAAGGTTCTGAGTTTGATTCCAGTTAAGAACATATGCCCGGGTGGGGGAGGTGGGTGTGCGGGAGGCAGCTGATCAATGATTCTCTCTTATCATGCTGGGACCGGTTTGGCTCAATGGATAGAGCGTCGGCTTGGGGACTGAAGGGACCCGGGTTCGATTCCGGTCAAGGGCATGTACCTTGGTTGCGGGCACATCCCCAGTGGGGGGGGTGCAAGAGGCAACTGATCGATGACTCTCTCTCATCGATGTTTCTAGCTCTCTGTCTCTCTCCCTTCCTCTTTGTACAAAATCAATAAAATATATTAAAAAAAAAGAAATTATCTTATCACTGATGTTTCTCTCTCTCTCTTTCTCCCCCTTCCTCTCTGAAATCAATAAAATATATATATATATACTTTTTTTTTTTTTTTAAAGAAGGATCTTTTACCCTTTGAGACAGCTTTGAGGGACTTGGAGACTATCATGCTAAGTGAAATAAGTCAAAGACAAATATCACATGACCTTACTCATATGGGGCATCTAATGAACAAAATAAACTGATGAACAAATAGATCCAGGGACAGAGAAACATGGAACAGACTTCGGAATCTCAGAAGAAAGGTGGAGGAGGGTGGGTGGGTGGGAAGAGATCAACCACAGAACTTGTATGCACATATGCATAGCCCATGGACACAGACAATAGGGCTGTGAAAGTCTGGGGCGGGGGCAGGCTAGAAGGGATCAATGGAGGGGAAAGGGAGGACATATGTAATACTTTCAACAATGAAAACTTTTAAAATAGAGATATGATATTTAAATTCACAAATAAACATAACAGTTTTTAATCAAATATACAAAATCCAATGAAAATGGCATATTTCAAAAAAAGAGAACAACATATCTCTATGTATTTTAGTGATCTTTTTTTTGCAAATAACAACTTAAAACTCGAAAAATTAAGATACTTGGAAACAAAAGAAGTCAAAATATGTTAAGACCCCAAATGAATAAGCAAAATGCAGTATACACATACAATGCAGTATTATTCAACAATAAAAAAGGAACGAAGTATTGATATATGCCGCTCTCAAAAACATGCAAAGTGAAAGAAGCCAGACACAAAAAAGCCATGTGTTGTATGATTTCCTTTATATAAAATACCCAGAATAGGCAAACCCATAGAGATAGCATGTTAGCAGTTGCCAGGGACTGGTGGGAAAGGGCAGCGGGGAGCCACTGCTTATTGGTACAGGGTCTGCTTTTGGAGGGATAAAAACGTTTGCAACTACACATGCAACATCATGAAGGTGCTTCATGCCAGGCACTGTAAGCTCTAAATGGTAACTTTTATACTATGTGCATTTTATCGCAATAAAAAGTTACCAGGCAAAACCATAGGAAACAATGTTGCTTCATTTCTGTCTTCCAAAGTTCAGGAGCCCTGGCCAGTGCGGCTCGGTTGGTTGAATGCTTATCCCACAGACCAAAAAGCTTTGGGTTGTATGCCCGGTTGAGGCCCCGTGGGAGGCAATGGATTGATGTTTCACATCGATTATTTTTTCCCCTCCCTCCTTCTTTCCCTCCCTCCCTCCCTTCTTTCTCTGTCTCCCTCTCTCCCTTCTTCCCTCTGTCTCTAAAAATGCCCTAATCCTAACTGGTTTGGCTCAGTGGATAGAGCGTAGGTCTGCGGACTGAAGGGTCCCAGGTTCGATTCCAGTCATGGGCAAGTACGTTGGTTGAGGGCACATCCCCAGTGGGGGGGGGTGTGTGTGTGCAGGAGGCAGCTGATCGATGTTTCTCTCATCAATGTTTCTAACTCTCTATCCCTCTCCCTTCCTCTAAAATATATATATATATATATATATATATATATATATATATATATATATATATATATATATATATATATAAAATATTTTTTTAAATGCCCTGGCTGGTTCGATTTCGGTCAAGGGCATGTGCCTTGGTTGCAGGCACATCCCCAGTAGGGGGTGTGCAAGAGGCAGCTGATAGATGTTTCTCTCTCATAGATGTTTTTAACTCTCTATCCCTCTCCCTTCCTCTCTGTAAAAAATTTAAAATATATATATATATTTTTTTTAATTAAAGTATTGATTTATTTTTATAGAGAGAGGGAGAGAAGCATCAATTCATTGTTCCATTTATTTATGCATTCATTGGCTGATTCTTGTATGTGCCCTGACAGGGGATTGAACCCACAACCTTGGCATATGGCGGAGATGCTCTAACCACTGAGCTATTCCACCAGGACCTTATGACCATTTTCTTTACTTCTGATTCTGGCACACTGCGACCATTGCCTTCATCATTGACTGGCTAAATGATGGGACATCTTAATAAAAAAGAAACCCCTCTACTTTACAGAAGAAAGTCACGGTCCACAGTACAGAAATTTAACTCCTAAAACACTACAGAATAATTATATCAATGCATGTAGACTTGTGATATGAGGATCAACATTGGTCTAAAAGTCAAAACTCCAGGGTCTACCACTTACTTCGCTAGGGCAAATCTTTTCTGAGCTTTCTTTTCTCTCTCAGGTATAAGAAGGAAAACTTTCCTGCTTGTCTCCCAGCAGAAGTATAGTAATAAAAACACGTACTACGCCGAAGCCAGTTTGGCTCAGTGGTAGAGCGTCGGTCTGTGGACTGAGGGGTCCCGGGTTCGATTCCTGCCAAGGGCATGTACAATGGTTGCGGGCATGTCCCCGATGGGGGGTGTGCAGGAGGCAGCTGGTCAATGCTTCTCTCTCATCGACGTTTCTAGCTTTCTCTCTCTCTCCCTTCCTCTCTGTAAAAAAAATCAATAAAATACATTTAAAAAAAAAATATGTTCTAGGTGGCTGGTCCCACTAAAGGGATCTAACAGTATAGGATGCTGAGGAAAGGAAAAAAGATGGGAGCAGGCGAGACTTTCAGAAACAGCTATTGAACTGAAATTCAAAGGGAAATGGAGAGAGAGCATTCCAAATTGGGGGTGGGGGGAGGGGCTCAGAAGCCAAGGTGGTGAGAGGACCACCACAAATCTGCTTATGTCATTCCCTCTCTTTAAGGGTCCAGGGCTCCTGACTCCGACCTCCGACTCCTTCACCCCGACTCTAGCCTTATCTCATTCCAGTCCCCAAATATACAATGCTTACTCTTACCAGCCTCGATACTGGAATGTTCTTCCACTCCAGGAACATCCAGCTCAAAATGGGGACACTACCTTGGCCTGCCAGAGTGAGTGCACCATTTCCAGGCTGCCACTTAATAAGTAAGTAGTATTCCTTTTAATCTAAGAGGCTATGAACATTGCCTCGACATCGAAGTGGAATGAAAGCATGTCCTCCAGTTCGCAATATTTCCCAGATAAATGGGTGCATGTCAATCAAGTTGGTCGAAAGTAATCATGGAAAGTTAAAAATCCATAAAGTATTCATCTTGACCCAGAACAGAATGAGACCATCACAAGGCATCCTTACCAGATAAGGAATGTATCCCCAGAACATAATGTTCAAGTAATCTGCTGTCATTGAAACTCACATTAAAAAGAAAAAAAAAAACACACCAAGTTCCTATTTTGCAAACCAGGCAAATTCAGAATGACACCGGAGAAATCATATAGGAAGGATTGTGGCACTCAAGATCAGCTCGAGCGGTTTTAGTTACTCTTGAATGCAAGGTACCTCCTCCTTCGCGCTGTTGAGTTGAAACAGTTTTTAAACTGGATAACCCGGAGTATAGAGACTGTCTGAAAGACACCTGCTGCTCTGTGTCATATACCGAGACCTCTTCAAAAGTTCCCTTGGTATTACCACTTACTATGGATGAAAAAGCAGGTGACAATGCCTCCCCAAACTGGATGCAATCACTCTTGTACCGAACATTTTCACAAGTTTTCAGGGCGATTATTCAAATAACTGCTTCAGCCAACGGTAACTCGTAAGGACCAGCCATACCACGCGCATCTGTTTTGAGGGTTCAATTTCATTTTAACAAGGTCCATCAACTCCTAAGGCACCGAGACACACGTGCAGGATTGCCGGCCATAGCCCGCTGCATAAATGTTTCACCGCTCTTGGCGCAGGGAAGCCAGCTCGCCGCTTTCTCCTGACCCCCTTAGCCCGTTCTCCTCCACACCCCGAACCTGTCAGCAACAGAACGCACCACCCGGTCCCGAGTTACCAGATCGCAGTCTCTTTGAACCTAACCCACTTACACAACGAGCCCGCAGTATCCCTCGCCCCGATCCAGTCCTCCGGACCCGCACGCATCCCCTGAATCTCGAAATGAAATCCGCTTGCCCCCACCCCGTTCCCCGCTGAAAGCCAACTTCCCATACCTGGAGCGATCTTCCCTGCCCGGAGCCTCGATCTAACTTAAAGGACCGCTCAGCCCCTTTGTCAGCCGCCTCCCGCCCCGCCGCGTATCCTCCTCACCTTCCCCGTCCCCTCGTCTCCCATCAACTCCCAAAGTTGCCACCCCCCAGCAAAAACAAACAAGACAAAAAAGACGCACCTCCACCCGGGACCAGCCCTTGCCCACTTTTCCCCTCTTCATCCTCCTCTCCGCCCGTTCGCCGAGCCCGACAACCCCGAGGACCCGAGCCCGGCCTCGTCCCGCACCTCTTGGGGGGGACGGCGAAATCACCTCGCCTGGGTCAAAGCGCCCCCCGCTAGGGCGCTTTACTCCGAACAGACTCCTGGCCGCCGCTGCCTCCCTCCATTCATCCCCGGCCCATTCATCTCGCAGCCCGATCCCAGACACGCCCCCCGGCCTCCTCCCTCTCTCCCGGCGCTCTGCCCGGCCCGGGACCCTCACCGGACCAGAGCTTCTAGGAGATGGAGCCTCGGACTCTTTTTTCGCTTCTCCTCCGTCCCCTTCCAAGCCTCCGCTCGCCCCTCGACGAGCCGCACCATAGAGCATACACATACGCACACGCCGCCTCCTCTGCTAACGCCTCCTCCGATGCTACTTACTCCCCTCCGCGGCGGCTCGCGCTCCGCTCGGCGGCGTGTGCGCGTGCGCGCGCGCGAGCGTCTCCCCGCGAGCCCACCGGGCCGGCCGCCGCCGGTAGGTGTGGGGCGGGCGGGGTTCGGAGCGCGGGGAGCGAGCCCGAGCTCGCGCTCGCCCGAGAGCTGAGCAAGCGCACGCGTACTCCGGCCGGGGAATTGAGTCGGAGCCGGGAGAGGGGCGGAGGGGGCGGGAACGGGAGGGGAGGAGAGGGCAGGGGGAGGGGCGGAGAAAGCCGAGCGAGCGGCCCCGGCTCCGAGCGGCCCCGAACGCGGCGAGGTGCCGAGCGGCCCGGCCAGCGGGAGGGTGCGCGCTCCTCCCCCGCCCCGTTCGGCGCGGCGGGAGGCAGGGATGCGCGTCGAGGAGAAAGGCTCCCGGGAGGAAGATCTCAGTAAGGAGCCACGCGTGACACCTCCCGTGGGTGCAAAAGCCCTCTCTCCACGGCTGCTTGCTGAGAACAAAAAAAGTCCCAAGCACGCACAACTTGCTAGCCGCCCTCCATGCATTCTCAGTTTTTCACGTGACTGTAAATGCGGGAGCCCCGCCGAGAGGTGGTACCCGCCCGCACCTTTCCAACTACCACCCCGAAGTCCCTTTTTTGCCAACTCCCGTCTCTTCTCGCGAGACCCGTACCTGCCGGCTTTGGGATTAGAAGTCGAAGCACAGATTTACAAATACCGGTCTCCCAGTTACGTTGCGAGGGCAACGGCCACGGCATGTACCCCCCACCCCCGGTGACTGCAGTGCGCGCCCGCCGGGGGCTGAGCAGCAGCAAAAGCTGGGATGGGAGAGGGAAGCTATGAAAGGGATTTTTGACGGCTTGTAACCGCTAGGCCTGGGCACGTGCCCTGCGCCTCGCGGGCAGGTGCAGGGTACTCTGGGAATTGTAGTTTTTATTCCCACCTCCAGGTCCACTCCCACCCTCTGCCTTACTTAGGCCTCGGGCCGGGAGGGGGATTACCGACGCCATTTTGCCACGAACAATGGCTCTCGGGCCAGGCGGTGGCGAGTGGGGGAGGGAGTAAGGTTTTAAGGGTTCTGTTAACCTCCCCTGGCCCCACGGTGCCATAGCAACCTTTTCAGAACCTGGCCCCGCCCCCCTCGCTGCTCCGCAGGGCTCCTAGCCTGTGCGCATGCGGAAAGGCTACATTCCACCCCCCCTGAGACTGGCTCTCACCATCTCCCACCATCCTCCTCCCAGATCCACTAGTTGGTATGAATACTACCTCCTTAGAGCAGTCACTACATGTTAACCTCGGGCAGCTACTTGGTTTATGACTGCTTCCTACAAAGTATCAGAATTGTTTCTGTCATTCTTACCTGAACAATCCTGGCTCCACAGAAGAGGAAACTGAGGCTCAGGAGAGGAAAATGCACATGACTTGCTCAAGTTCACACAACTATGTATTGAAGAGTCAGAACTTGAACCCAAGTGTGCTCAGTCCAGAGCTCAGGCATTTCTCAACCCCCCAAGGTGTGTCTGGCGTCACTGCCCTAGACGGAAAGCTCCTAAGGGCGGGATTGCTTTCTCAAGACCCCTTTAAGCCTTAGGATGCCTTGAGGGGCAGACGCTGGAAAATGCAGAGCTAATAATTTCAACTGTAGCCTAAGGGCCCTATCACTAAGCTCTACCAGCCTCTTATCTCCAACACTTTTTTTCTTTTCCTACTGTAGCCCTCAGAACCTCAGCCCTTTTCAGCTCTTTAAAAAAACTATCAATAAACGTAACTTTCTAATCCAAATGGAGTGGGATGGTGGCCCTGCGTCTTGTCTCTGCACCTTTCCTCTCAAAGGTTGAATTTGAATCGCAATATTGCCAGAACATGCAAGGAAACCAGACCTTGCCCTTAATAGATTGAAATCCCCATATCTCAATTTTGACAATGGAGGGAAACTGAGGGAATGAAATTCAGGGTTATATATTCCAGCTGTGGAGATCTTCCTGGATAAGAAGATCAAGTTTCTTGGAAGAACAAGTTTCTCCAGATAGTGCCACCTCCCTACCTTGGAGGTCTCTGCATTCCAAATTAGCTGTAGAATGGATGAGGTCTCTCAAATCCTTCTTTACTTACTTGCTCCTGAAGATAGTCCCTTTTCCCTGTTAAATTATTGGGGAATTGGGATGCATAGCCAAATAACCACTTAGGAACAATATTAAAGGTTACCACGTTATTCCAAGTCTTTATAGGTCCTCACTCCCACTGAGACAGTAACTAGAAACTGTCCGCATTTTTATTTTTCAATGTCACTCTACTCCCACCACCACCACATACAACCCACCTTTAGGAAAAGCAACAGGTACCTCCCTCAGTAGTCACCTGTTCTTTTCTTTGTCTCTGAGCCTGAAGATATCTAATCAACACAGATCAGTATTTGGAAGCAGTAGCCCCTCAATCTGTTCAGAGGTGAACCTATCTAAGAAGTCCCTCTTTGACAGGCAAACATTTGCTAAATAAATCTAAAGTCATGTGAGTTTTATAAACTTTAGAGATTAGAAAATCAAACAAGTCCGCCCCCCATCTAAGTAAAGGCCGTCTCAATGTAGGCCTTTTATTGACATACTAGAGGCCCAGTGCACGAATTTGTGCACTGGTGGGGTGTGGCTTGACTGGCCCCAATTGGGGTGGATTGTCGGGGGGCTGTAGGGAGGAGGAGACAGAAGGAGGCTGTCTGGCCGACCCACCCCTATTAGGGCCTGATCAGGGCTGGGCCTGCTAGGGGAAGGACTATGGGAGATTGGTCAGCAGACCCTGCCCCTGATTGGTGTGGGGAGGGGGGTCGGGGGAGGCCTATTGGAGTTGTGGAGGCCCATCAGGGGTGGGACAGCCAGCCAACCTCCTGCAGCCCCTACCCCTAGTTGGTTGGCCCCAGCCTCTGTTGGGGTAAGGGGGGCGATTTTGGGTGGGGCTCGCTGGGAGTGGGGGTGTGGGGGTTGATGGGGGTAGGGTAGCCAGGGAAGGGGCTGCACGAGGTTGGCTGGCCAGCCCCACCCCCTCTTGGGGTGGGGGGACAATCAGGGGCAGGTCGGCTGGGAGGAGGAGCTGCTGGTAGATCATGGTGGGGCGGGCGATAGGGGCGATGCAGGCCTGCGTGAAAGGCCCCAGGAGGAAGAAGTTGGCCAGCTGCCCAGCCCTTAATGGGGGTGGGAAAGGCCGATCAGGGGTGGGACTGGCTGGGGGAGGGGCCGAGGGAGGTTGGCCGGCTGACCCCACCCCCAATTCAGCCAATTTGCTGGCCTCAGTGGGCATAATAATGACCCTTCATTATGGCGTTCTGGTCGCTGACTTTTTATATATGTATAGATGTGCTCTTGTGTTTGAAACAACCTGTCCATAACTCAGCACAAATGCCTATAGGCAGAAAAAGGCATGGGCAATGATATATAGTCAACAGCAAACATACAACAGAGAACATCTCCTCTTACCCACTGGTTTCCACTGATTCTCAAACGGAATTTGTGTACTGTTTGTAGTCATCAAATAGAAAATTTGACTTATATTAACCAGTTATATTTGGCTTTACATTATTCCATGAAAACTTCCTTCCAATAATCTACTTCAACTTACCTGAAGACTCTGGTGCCAAGAAATTACAAAAGCCTTTACTGAATCCATTTTTATTTTTTATATATTCTTTTAAAATATATTTTTATTTATTTCAGAGAGGAAGGAAGAGGGAGAAAGAGATAGGAACATCAATGATGAGAGAGAAGCATTGATCGGTTGCCTCCTGCACGCCCCGCACTGAGGATGGAGCCCGCAACCCGGGCATGTGCCCTGACCGGGAATCGAACCTGTGACCTCCTGGTTGCAGGGTTGACACTCAACTGCTGAGCCATGCCAGCCTGGCACTGGATCCATTTTTAGACCCCCATATTCTGCAGGAGTGGGCATGGGGGTAGTTTCATGGCCCTGCTAGCTGTTGATCTTTTCTTACAACGGAGGATAGTAACTCCTTCTATCGAGATGGAACCAAGATGAACCTCAAAGTTTACAATTGCAGCCGTGAGTAGAGTTGTTACTGTTTCTAGAACTCTGTTTCTGACTCCTTTGACTAAGCTACTAGGAAAACAATGTAAGTCGGGTTTTTTTTGTTTTGTTTTGTTTTTTTACCAGTATTGTTATTTTTTTACAATATACAAAATAAATCTATTACCAGATTGTAGATACAAAATAACTAGCAATTTACATGGAATAAACATTCATATTTCAAGAAAGATGTAAGTCATTCTTTTTTCTTTTTTTAAATATACTCTACTGATTTTACACAGAGAGGAATTGAGAGGAATAGAGAGTTAGAAACATCGATGAGAGAAAAACATCGACCAGCCACTTCCCGCACACCCCCCACTGAGGATGTGCCCTCAACCAATGTACATGCCCCTGACCGGAATCGAACCCAGGACCCTCCAGTCCCCAGGCCGACGCTCTTCCACTGAGCCAAACCGACTTCGGCTCAAGAAAGATGTAAGTCATTCTTGATGTTCATTTCCCTTATCCCAGGTGATGCCATGTCTGGGGGATCTTAGGTAGTGCTCAGACATGTGGACGGATTCAATGTATCTGCTTGCAGGTTCTTAGATTCTGTCAGTTACTGCGGAGCCCTCTCCCCACATGGGTATTTTCAAGTGCTGTGGTCCCCTTTAACATCTCTGCCACGCTTAGGGCATGGGACTCATTGCCAAGGTCAACCGATGATCCAAATACCTAGACATTCCCCACAGCCCTTCCTTTTTTTTTTTTTTTTAATATATTTTATTAATATTTTACAGAGAGGAGGGAAGAGGGGTAGAGAGCCAGAAACATCGACCAGCTGCCTCTTGCACACCCCTACTTGGGGATGTGCCCGCAACCAAGGTACATGCGCTTGACCAGAATCGAACTCGGGACCCTTCAGTCCACAGGCCAACGCTCTATCCATTGAGCCAAACTGGTTTCGGCCAGCCCTTCCTCTCTGGAGTCTTCCAGCCAGCCAAGGGCGGCTTTTAGGAGCCACTTGAGCTCCCACAGAGCTCTCTGCCTCTTTCCCCAAAGGTGCGGGAAGGAGGGGGAGTGATGAAGAGAAGAATCTTTTTATAGGCTTTGCAGCTTTCTTCCTTTTAGTTTTCTGGCCAAGATACTTTGTCTCTGCCCCTGCACCCTAACCCCCCTTCCCTAAGGCTTATACTTTTAA